CCAACCTAGTTGGGATGTACTTTAACTATAAGTTTATAAATAGTTCAAAACTGTTTAATTTGTTAAGTTAGGCAAAATATTGTTAGAACAATTGTAAGTTTTTATATTATTTAATTATTGATGTAAAATTTATCAAAAAATAAATCAATGTAAAATTTATTTTTATGTAACTTTTATCGATTTTCATTATAATTATTTTTACCGTTTATTTTTGAAAAAAAAAAAAAAGTGCCAGCAGGCCAACAGGCCGACCCTGGCCATGCGGGCCTGCGGTCCGAGCAAGGTCAGCCGTTCCCTGACCTGGCCCGTGAAGCCGGCACGGGCCGGTCTATTTGTACCCCGGGCCGTTATCGGGCTTTTTCACTTGCGGGCGGGCCCGGTCCACCCATTTTTACACCTCTAGAAATGGACATTGATGCAAATTGATTCAAGTCAATAGTCAATTCATGGATGATCTTTTCTGATCATGATAATTAGGAATGTCAGCGAGCCGAGCCGAAACTCAAGGTTCGGGTTCGACTCTAGTAAAAATAGTTCGAATTTTTTTTTTGCTCGAGCTGAGCCGAGCTTTTACTCGGCCAAAAAATCTAGGCTTAACACGAGCACTACTCTAGTTTTATCTAGTAGACGAGTCGGCTCACAATTTTTTTTTTTTAATCGACAGTCAAGTGTAAGGCAGTTTGTAGCTACTTGCAAAGGCAGCAACTTGCTCTGTGTTTAATTTATTTATTTTTCAAGGATCAATTCGTCACGGGCTGAAAATGGCCCATGACACGAGTCGGCCCGTGTGGCTCGTTGAGCAAGCTCAGGCTCATTATGGGACCTCTGCTCGGTTGAATAGAGCCACAAGTCGGGCCGACTCGGGCTTTTTACGGGCCGAGCCACAAGTCGCCCGAGCCAACGAGACAAATTGACACCCCTAATAATAACCTTAATTAAAATAAAAAGAGTCCCGGCTCGTGGCTTTTTTTGGACCGAGCCACAAGCCTTCCGAATCAATGAGACAAATTGACACCCCTAATGATAACCTTAATTAAAATAAAAAAAAGTAGTATCTTTCTAAATATAGATACTATTCTTGTGCGGCTTTTCCACCTCCATATCATTCAACTTTCATTTTTAATGAATTCATGGGACTATTTTGTGGCGCGCATATTAAAATAATTAAGCATATAATCAAAAAAGTAAACAATTAGCAAATAAAAATAAGAAAGTAAACTATCATAGTGTTGACCACAGTACATGAATTATAATTGAAATTTTCATTCATTAGAAACCCATAATAATTAAGGTACATAGAATAGGCTATTCCAAAAAATGCTACTTATTTCTACATTTATTAATTTATATACAAAAATTTTAAATGGCATCAGCCTTTATTCTTCTGAACTAGCTCCAACTCCAGTTCCAAACCCCCTTTGAATTCCATGTAAGGGCACGACATTGGATAATCTTCTTCTTTCGCTTTCCACCTTCACACAGATTTTGTATTAGTTGTTATTGTAAACGAAAATATAAATTTTGACAAGATTACGCCTTCAGATAACAATTTATAAATTTAGTCAAAATTAAACAATAATTTCAATTAAATATTTGTAATTATCCACTCATTTTGTGAGATCTACTATCATTTCTTTTACTTATAAATCATTTATAAATTTTCCAAATAATGGCTAAGTTGAATAAAATTGAAGGATTAATAAATACGTACCTAAAATTATGCACAAAATGGTGTAGAAAGAATGCCGTCTCTAGTTTACCTAGTTCCGTCCCCGGACAATGCCGCAACCCGCCACCAAATGGCGTCACTTTTTTGCTTGTTGCGGGATCCTTACATGCATGGAAACATATCAGAAAAAAAAGTGATTACAAGTCGTGATTACACGGAATGTGTAATAATAAATAAATAGTAGTTATGAGTGTTGAACAAATACGACGGATTTGAGTGATGATAATAAATAACTCATCAACCTTACTAAAAATTGGATAGAGTAAAGATAAAGATATGAGTGTATGCAAAGTCGAGACACAAGTTGAAATCTTTGGCCACGGATGATGACAATCGACTTCTAAGATGCAACGACAATCTTCGTGTGTTAGTAGCACTTCAAAATACAAGAACAACGAACCGAAGATTGATTTTTGTACTCCTTATGAAAATGAAAAAAAACAGCTTTTTATGTAGAATTTTGGCTAGAAAAAGATGAATTTAATGTTATACTATGATTGCATATCATTGTGATGAACAAATCGATGTCCCAAGGGTTTAATTTATAGAGGAGGAAATGTTGTAAGTGAGGTGCCTTGCCCCAAACTTAGCAACATTTGTCAAGGGTCACAACTTTTGTTGTCGCTAGCCGTAGCCCTTGCATTAGAAACAGAGGCTTTATCGCTTGAGCGACAACCTCTCCGCTAGAGCGCTAGGCGAACGATGGACTTGGACAAATTTTCAGCCAAATTCCTCTCTTTCTTCGAACTTCAAACCGTAATTTCTCATTCACCCAAATTGGTTTGGAGATTTCAAATATACTACGACGATCTACTCGACTATTAAAATACGTTAGTCTATTTATTTTCATAATTTGAGTATTGGATAAAGTAAGAATATTTGGTCGAAGTTGACACGAAAGTTACTTTTTCATGGTTTAATATTTAACAAATTCCAACAATAAGTTTTACAAAATGTGTAAATAAAAAGTTTGTTTGAACAGTTTAAATTATAATTTTAAACTTTGCCAAACATGCACAAACTTTATAATCAAGGCAGTAGGGTACATTAGATTAAATATATGTGTAATTACGTACTGTCCATCTCTGAGGATTGAACTCGAAAGGATTGTGATGAAGAGTTGGGTCAAGATGTGTTGCAGAGAAGATTGGGAGAACTTGCCACCCCGCCGGAATCAGATAACCTGCAAATTAATAATAAGCAAAAACGTAAGAAAAATATAAGCAAAAATGAAAAGCATTTTTCAAATTATAATTTAGTGTAGTGAAGAACCTTTAAATTCGACATCTTTGACAGCTTTCCTATGCACAAATTTGACTAGATTTCCACAACGCAAAGCTTCATTAATTACCTATTAAACGCAAATCTATTAGAAAAAACACACATTATAATGTTGTTTGATGAAATTAAGAATATTCGTACAACTTACATAAGAAGTGAACTCCATTTCCTTGTAGTCTTCCCAATTTAATGCCTCTCCGTCCTTCTTTCTCTTTCTTATGGTTTGGTGTTCTTCCTAAAAAAACACAACGATACGTTTTCGATAAGTAATAGTCGACTATAAATGAACAAAAAATTAACTTAATTTTTCAGTTACATCTGTCCAATCCAATCCAATCCAATCCAATGTAGTCCAACATTGAAAGAATTGATGGGTCAATGGGTTAGCGAATTCACTTTGTGATCGACTCTTTGGATGCGAATTGGTGAGAAATCGACTTGATGATTTGACGATCGAAAAGAGATGTTCTTTACAAATGGATCCCACATAGTGCTTGTATGCGTGCATATAAACATACCTTGAGTTGTTGAAGGGCGAATGGAGCTTGTGCGAGAAAGTAAACGACGAGGGCCATAAGTCCCGAAGTGGTTTCATAACCAGCTAGAAGAAGGTCCAGCAAAACACTCACTCTTTCCTCGTCATTTAAACATTCTTTCGTCAAGATTTCATCTAAAAAGTCTCCATTAACTTGCCCTGCACCAATTTTTTTCCTCTCTTTTATCACTTCCATTAAAGTTGATGAAATTCTTGTTCTAGCCTGAAAGAAAAATAAAAAACCAGACAGAGTTAAACTAAATTAAATAAATATTTCGGCTACAGATCAACTTATAATTCAAAAGGAAAAATTAGATTATAATTATAATTACCTTGATAGCCTTGGCATAAGCAGTCCCTGGAATATATAGAGGAAGAGAAACAAACCCTTTCATAAAGGTAAGAAAATCCTCAAAAATTCTCACAGCAAGAGGATCTTCAGGCTCCATATTAAGCAGATTTTTCAGCATCAGATACAACGTAAACTGCATTAATTTAATCAGATTAATATTCACTCTTTGTTCTTGAAAAGAAGAAGAAGGTATTTTTACCTCTTTGGCCTCTTTAAAGAAGAGAATCCGCTTTTCTTCTTTCCAGGATCCGATCAACGAGACCGACAACTTCTCCACATAATGAAGAAATTCATGGCTCGACTTCGAAACATTAATAAAACTAATTGCAACGCTTCTTAACTTTTTGTGTAGTTCTCCTGATATAAGCATCATTGATAATTTTCCAAGAATATCATGTACTCCAAATCCTATTGACGAGACTTTATTCCTCTCTTCATTTTGGAGAATGAATATATTCAGTTCAAGATCACATGAAACTATTGTTGGAGTACCAAAAAGATGGGATTTAAAAACCTTCCCATATCTGCATAAATTTGATAATCAAACTCGTACTCAAATGAACAATTCAATTCGTCTAAAACTCAAACGAATCATATATACCTGGAACAATGTTCTTGTATAAAGTTGCTAATGGAGTTCGATTTATGAGGCTTAAGAAAAGCGAGTGTTTCTCCGACTAACGGCCACCCCATGTTCCCCTTAGGCAACTGCAAATCTGTAGACTTTTGTTTAAAAATGGAGATCCATAAAAGTTTAAGAGAATAAGATAATCCAAAGAAAAGTGCCAAGTACACAGGCATGAATTCTGCAGTCATTTTGTGTTGAAAATATTCTTGGAGTTCTCAGTTTTAATGTTTAATCATCCTTTGTAGAGTATGTGTATTTAATATACAGTGGCGATTTCCTACCTAATTAATTTAAGAAAATTATGTCCCAATTAAAGAATTTAGTTATGTGCATAGGAATCCAATGAATAAAAATATACTTATTATCACAAAATGTCCATATATTTGACTTTTAGTGTGCAGAACGTTCCTACGTTTCAATTTTTCTTTTGCATTTTCACCCCTTTTTTCACGTTTCATTGCGGAAAACATCATTTTCCTCAATTTTCATCCCCCACCAAAAAATCTCCAAACCCTCCGCCGCCGCCACCACATCAGGTCGGAGCTGTCATTTCTCCACCACACCTACCCAACCACCGTCATCATTGCCCACCTAAAAAAAACCACCAACGAACTACATGCCAAATTTATTTTCTTCACCAAATTTATTCAAATATTATATTTATTATTCAAATAAGCTTTATTTGACTCAATTGTTTACGCAGGTCGCAGGGGCAGACCCATGAAGGAAGTTTAGTGGGGACGAAACCAAAAAACTTTGGAAAAAAATCTGAAAATCTGGACAAAAAAAACTAAAAAAATCTGAAAATTTGAAGAAAAATCGGGAAATCTGAAATTGAGTGGGGGCGACAGCCCCCACTGGGCCTCATGTAGGTCCGCCCTGTGTTTACGTCTTTATTAGTTAGACTCATCATAGTTGTAATTTCTTCAAAAATACAACCCGTAAAGAGTTGTCGTCCTCATTTTTGGCAAACTAATTACTTTTTATTTACGAATTAAATTAGCGTAATTCTTTTAATTGACATTCCTAAGCAATATAATCTCATTAGACTGATTTGTGTTCTCAAATAATACACCATCTTGAGATAACATATTAAGAAAAATCACGCACGATGTGTTGACTCACTCGGCACTTTGACAGATCAGTGGAGGGGGGTTTTGGACCCTGATCAATTTGGAGCACATCTCGCAGTTTACCTGGTCTGCGTCTTGAGGGGTCAAGGCGTAGACCCCATGATTAGTCACAGAAGGTGGACACTTGGGTATCAAAAAAATAAATAAATAAATAAAACATATTAGGGCGAAGACTAAATTGTGTACTTGTACAACTCTTTAATTTGACACGAATCCCATGTGCAGCCCAGGAAGCAGTCATCCCTCTCGCATACGTCGACAAGCATAAAGCTACGGCGCGCACAGAACACTTCAAGCACGATTCTGCAACTATATATATTTATATACGATGACATCATTAGTGCATTTTACTGTAATATAAGTCAAATTTCCAACTGTTAGCAACCTTGTCATGCCACGTATGAAGATGAGTTGCTAGATTCGTGAAAAAATTGTCTTACACGATTTCGGTACAATGCACCAATCTAACGAGGCCATATATCTTAAGCACTTAGTTTAAATTAGAAGTAGTAGTTCCCTAAAGCACCGCCAATAAGAGAACAATTTTGGTATAAATTCTACAACTTTTGAAAGCAAAAGTTTAATGCCTTTGATTGTTTTATTTGCTTTAGATGGTTTGATGTTGATGTTTCTAGTCAAAAACCGACCAAAAAATTGCAACTGTCAATTTTGCAAGTTTTTTGGCTTTATTGCCATCATCTTTGTCTCTAATCAATTCTATATTCCCAACATTAAACCATTTAATCATGACAATAAGACAACATTATCGATCGTTTTAGTCTTAATTCCGTTAAATTTGGTGT